GGTGGCGACGATTATCCAGCGATTCCCCATCGTCGACGGTGGAAAAGGACCCAGCAAATCCATTCCAATTTGCTGGAAGGGCTTGGTTGGCGGGGTAATCGGCTGAAGGAGACCTGCTGGCTTTGACGGTGGTTTCTTGCGTCGCTGGCACTCATGGCACGATCGTGTGTAGAGATGGACGGTCTTCGGAAGCTTTGGCCAATAGTACTTGTCACGAATCCGGGCAAGGGTCCTGCTGTAGCCGAGATGTCCGGCCGTTGGGTCGTCGTGGCACGCTTGAAAAATTTCTTCTCGGAGGCTGGCGGGGACAACCAGTAGCCAGGGGGTTTCGCTGGTTCCGAAATTCTTTCTGAAGAGCACGCCTCGCCGCAGCACAAAGCTCGGTAGGTCCCGAGAAAAGACCCGTGGGACAGAGCCTCCTGGACCTTCGAGGCTGTCGATCACGGAGCTAAGTTCCGCGTCGTCGCGTTGCAGTGCCCTCATGTCGGTAGCGTTAACTGCGCCTAGAAAACGGGCGTCGTCATCGTCGTCCGCGCCGGAGATGGGAGGTTCGACTGGAGCCCTAGACAAACAGTCAGCGTCATTATGCTTGCGGCCAGACTTATGCACAATGGTTACGTCGAATTCCTGCAGTCGAAGGCTCCAGCGGGCGAGGCGTCCGGACGGATCCTTGAGGTTTGCGAGCCAGCAGAGGGCGTGGTGGTCTGTGACCACGCGAAACGGGATCCCGTACAAGTACGGGCGGAACTTGGTTATCGCCCAGACGACAGCAAGACATTCTTTGTCGGTTGTTGAATAATTTTGTTCTGCCTTAGACAGCGCCCGGCTTGCGTAAGCGATTACTCTCTCTGCCCCTTCTTGTCGCTGAACGAGTACCGCACCGAGACCGGTATTGCTGGCGTCCGTGTGGATTTCAGTCTCCGCCGACTGGTCAAAATGTCCGAGGATAGGGGGCGACTGGAGCCTTCGCTTGAGTTCGTCGAACGCTTGCTCTTGCTCCTCTCCCCACTGGAACTGCACGTCGTCTTTCGTCAAATGCGTCAGCGGTGCAGAAATTTGCGCAAAGTCACGAACGAAACGTCTGTAATAGGCGCACAGCCCAAGGAATCTTCGAACGGTCTTCTTGTCTGATGGCTTCGGGAACTCGGCGACAGCGGACGTCTTGGCGGGATCAGGGCTTACACCCTGAGCACTCACGACGTGGCCCAAGAATTTCAGCTCACCATAGGCGAACCGACACTTGGAAGGCTTGAGGGTCAGCCCAGCAGCTTTGAAGGCCTGTAGCACGGCTCGCAGTCGTCTCAGGTGCTCGTCGAATTCGCTTGCGAAGACCACAACATCGTCGAGGTAGACGAGACAGCTTTGCCATTTCAAGCCGGCAAGGACGGTGTCCATAACGCGCTGGAAGGTTGCCGGCGCTGTGCACAGCCCGAACGGTATTACTTTAAACTCATACAGTCCGTCCGGCGTGACGAAGGCCGTCTTCTCACGATCTCGTTCGTCGACCTCAATCTGCCAGTACCCGCTCTTCAAGTCCATCGACGAAAAGTATCGGGCGTGGCGTAGCCGGTCCAGGGTGTCGTCGATGCGTGGCAGCGGGTAGACGTCCTTTTCTGTTACGGCGTTCAGTCGGCGATAGTCTACGCAGAACCGAAGAGTCCCGTCTTTCTTTTTCACCAGGACTACCGGTGAAGCCCACGGACTGCTTGAGGGCTGGACAATGTCGTCGTCAAGCATTTCTTGTACCTGCTGCTGGATGGCTTCCCTTTCTTTCACGGAGACCCTGTACGGCGGCCGATGCACAGGGAGTGCGTCGTCATCAGTAATTATCCGATGTTTCGCAACCGTCGTTTGGCGCACTTTCGACGACGCGGAGAAGCACTCACTGAACTCGGCGAGAAGGTCACGAAGTTGTCGTCGTTGTGGGGCTGGGAGGGATGGGTCGATGTCGAGCTCTGAGGACGTGATTGTCTTGTTCTGCGTCGGAGAGGCGTCTTCTGAGATCACGGCGATCGCGGCTGAGTCTTCAATTTCCTCGACGTAGCCCACAGCTGTACCCTTTGTAAGGTGCTGCGACTCTTGCCGGAAGTTGGTGACAAGGGCTACAGTGCGCCCGTCCTGGAGCTCTGTTACGCCTCTTGCAATGCCAATCCCTCGTCCGAGGAGAAGTGGGACGCTTCCTTCCAGCAGTGCTACACCGCAGGTGGCTCCTTCGGTCCCGACGGGCACAAAGACACTCGACAGCGGCGGCAGGTTTACGTGGCTGGCGAGGACTCGCACAGCAGCTAACGTCGGTTTGGTATTTTCCACCGATGGGGCAGGCTTCCGAAGCGTCAGCTTGTTCTCCGCAAGGTCGATGATGGCGCCGTATTCACACAGGAAGTCCATTCCGAGAATGACGTCCCTCGAACAGTCTTGCAGAACGACGAACTTCACAGGGCATGTTTCGCCGTGAATCTCGACGCGAGCGGTGCATCTCCCGACTGGTGTAATCAGGTGTCCTCCGGCGGTTCTTATTTGTGGTCCATCCCACGGCGTCATGACTTTTCGAAGGCGGCGAGAGAGCCTCCCACTCAAGACTGAGTAGTCTGCTCCGGTGTCCACGAGTGCCGATGAGTCGAGGCCGTCGATAACAACGTTTAGGTGCGGGGATCGATACCCCGCACCTCCACCAGAATGTCACGGGTGGTGACCAATAAACAAGAAATAAACAGAAATAAATAAACGTTTAATGTGGCGAACTTGTGCCAAAAATAAAGAAGGAAACAGAAGAAAGCAGAGCGTCGCGGGCGTCGAAGTCGGCGTGTCAGCAGAGTCGAACGCTGGGGCGAAAAACTGACTTGACAAGGTCGCGGGCGGCCTCTTATCTAGAGTGCGTCGCTATCTCGAAGATTCGCCGAAAGCGGCTCGAGCGTCGCGTGATCGGGTGAGAATGAACACGCACTTTCTAGAAAACAAAAGCAGGAATAAATGATAGCAGTTACGTGCGGTACATGAATAAACGAGAACTTTCTGGAGGTCCCTGACCGAGCGTTGCTTTCTCAGCCCTGGGCGCGGCAATATCTAGTGTCCCCATAGACCTCCGCATTGCCAGGTGTAAACGGGGGGGGGGGGGGGGGGGGGGGGGCGACACAGCGATGATCCAGGATCGACGGGGTGGCGTGGCAGTAAAGCCGTAGAGGCGCGGAAGTGAATTAGGTTCTTGGAGAAGCAGTGCCCAAGCAACAAGCTTTCCAAGCCGGATGCGTTGATTGAGCTCCCCGGCCTTGTCATTCAAGCTTCAACAGTTCCATTGCAGAACCCCTATGAGCGCCGTGGAGGGAGTGAAGGAATCACAGGCGAAGGTTAGCTGACAGCACTCCAGACAGATTCTGCGTTGTTGAGCTACATACTGGAGAAGTTCCGTCGGAGACACAGCAGCGGAAGGGGCAGGCAAAGGCTGAGCAGGTGAGGAGGGGTTTGGGCGCCCCCGGTTTTCACGGATTGGGAGGCTTGCTGGCGAAGGACGGCTCGGCGCTCCGTTAAGTAGCGGGCCTCCTCTTGAAGCAGGTCTAGGCGTTAGTCAAGTTCAGCTATGTTCTAGGTCCGGAACCCTAGATGACAAAGGAGCGGCAAAGAAGTTGCTGGGGCGTCAACGTCTCTGCCGGACCGTCGTACTGTATGACGGACTGCAAGAAAATGGTATGCCTGAACTAGGGTCGTCCACCCTAGCCCTCTCTTCTTCAAGGAAAGTGAAGTAATTGTGCGCCTCTATTCGGCGTTTACTGTTTGGCAGCCGAGGCCGCTTGCCGCTGCCGCCGTCGGCGGTCCGTTGTGGCACGCTGTTTCGTAGGACAAGTCTTAGCTGTGATTTCATGATCACTCGTCTTGCATAGGCCGCACTTGTACGCAGCTGCCTCTGACGACTCCATGTTCGAGTCGGAACGGTACGGACATGAGGAGCGCATATGGCCCCGGGTGAAAGCACTTGTTGCAGTGGACCACCACTGGGCGATAGGGACGGGAGCTCAAGATACAGCCGTAATAGGTGATAAGATCGGGGGAGACGGAGGCCCCTGGATTGTGACCAGGCACGTATGCCCCGAACCCATGTAGCGAGCGGAGATCACCTGATGTGACGAGCTGGTTAGTGATTCAAGTAAGCCGTCGGGCGTCTCACCAGGGTCCACGCCGCTAACAACCTATAGCAGCGAAGGTCCGTGCCGGAGATCAGGTACGCTGGCAGAGGCAAATCTGTGTACTTTGAGGTCTCTTGCTTTTCTCGGAGTCGTCCTCAAGGGAACGTACCCAGACGGAAGCAATGTTGATGGCCTTGTGGACAGTCTCGAAGGCTGGTCATGTTGTAGTCCAAGGCGTACTGGAGCACGCAATTGGAAAACGTTGCGACGTCGAAACAGGTACCATATTGTAGATGGCGGCCGCTGGGGGAGACGAAGTATACGCTCTTGCCCCAATGCGGGGCAGTCCCGCTAGGCGGCGAGGAAGCCATCGACACCAATGCTGCGAACAAAAATTCTACAAGTCGCTTCCCAGTGGTAGCGGAACTAGGAGCACGATCCTCAGGCACCAAAGAAATGTCCATCTTGCTGGGCGCGACGCCGGGACAACCCAGGGAGACAGGCGGTTTGGCCGCCGCAGCAGCCGTCTTCAGCAGCGCCGAGGAGCACAGCTGACGAAAAGGTGCACACGAAGTCGGCGCACTTCGGTGCACACAAAGTCGAGCAATGTACCTGGTAGCTAGGCCTATACCTCTCGGCGGTGACCAGAAAAGGCCCGGGGCTCCCCCCATGGCAACGAACGGGATTATTGACCGGCTGGTGAGGGGCTAGGAGTATCTAAAAGATTTGCGGTGCAGAAGCGCAACGAAAAGCGGAGGAAAAACCTCAAAGAACAAGAAAAGCAACGGAGTGCACAAAACGCTTGACCGCTCCGGGTCGCTCACTTCTTTCACATCTAAGCACTTACAACAAGATGAAATATGAAACAGGAAATGTCCTTACCGTTGTTTCGAATGAATCTTGTCTTAACCTTCGCCTTGTCCATGGGATGTCCAGCGACCTTGATAACCACGTAAGGATCCACCACTTCACCGTCAGTGGACTCCAGTGGCTTGGGCAGCTGCTGTCCACTTATCACCTGCGAGCAACAACACTTGCCGCCTACTGTTGCTTTTTCGGACTGTAATGTTTTACGATGAGGCTCGTGGCATTACGTCACTAAATACGTTTGCCCGTCACACCACCAGCCATAGTGGTATTATTCAAGTCCATTGACACCGATATCTTCTATCCTGCCAACAGACTGTGTTTTAGCAGTGCTTTGAGGAGGCGCCTCTCGCCATTCCTGGCTTCTGGTTGGAGAGGGGGAAGGGGGGGATGATAGAGAGCGCCGAGATTATTACCGCATCCCAGCTCAGAGCACGTGGAACGAAAGCTCGCGATGCAGAACCAAGGGAACCTGGGGGTATTCACTGGACGCCATATTTGAGGGCGATGTTTAGGGCACATGCTCAGAACCAGCTCAAATCACTAGGCTGCTAAGACCGGCAATCTTGATGGTGCGGAATGCACCTTCCAAAAGAACTGCGTTACCTCGCCGTCAGCACGCACTCAGCAGTCGCGCACACAGCTATGGCCGGCAGTGCACACTCCCCGTACTACGTTTTAAGCTGAGACTGCAGACAATGGCACAAGCACGAGAGCTCGAGGTCGCTGCTTTGAAGCGTTCTTCCGCGGAACGTGCACTCGCCCTAGAAATGCACATATCAAAGCCAGGAGCGCGGGCTAGCTCGCGCTTGTAACTTTGGCTGCAGACTCAGCGTAAGGGTGAACAGAATTTAGCACGCTGTAGCTCGGAGCACGTGGAGGGAAAAGCTCGAGCAGGAGAACCCAGGGATTCCAGATTCAATCCCCGCTCTGCCCATTTCGATCTGGATGAGCATCGTACTGCGCGTGCGGTCGTGTATCACTACTGCGTGGTCCACATTAAAGGGGCCCTGCAATCATATTTAAGCGTCTACCTTTTTTGCGGTTTCCACGTCCCGCGGGGTTCGGGCAATCCAGCGGGCACGAAGAGAGTAACTAAATATCAGTGCGTTATATTTTAACCAACGAAGCGGAAACCTCAATAACCTACGGGGGCGACCTGCGGTGCCGAAAGCGCGCGATATGTGGCGTCTTAGGTCCTGGGCTTATTACTGGTCACAGCCGCTAAAAGCTTCTTTTTTGTCGAAATACAAAATATAAGTGGCGCGAACCGTTTCAATTATTTATAAAAGTGGTTTTTGTTCACTATTTTAAATCAGAAAAAAAATGAAAGCTGTTTACAACTCCCTGTAACGCCGAATTAGAGCACAGCTCTTAAGGAGGAGGAGGGAAAGGTACTGAGGGTCACGTGTTCTCAGGGGGGAGGGGTCACGTAACCTCGGGGGAGGGGGGGGGGGGGGGGTCACGTATGTGACCTCGGGGGGGGGGGGGGGGTCACGTGATCTTGGGGATCCCCCCTCCCCGAGGTCACCAAAGGTACCCGAGGTCCTCCCGAGGTTCTCCCGAAGTCCTCCCGAAGGAACCCGAAATCATCCCGAGGTCCTCCCGAAGGAACCCGAGGTCCTCCAAAGTCCTCCCGAAGACACCCGATGTTCTCCCGAGGTCCTCCGAGGTCCTCCCGAAGGAACCCGAGGCCCTTCGGGAGGACCTCGGGGAAAATTTACCCATAATGCACTGCGCGGTTACGCCGACGGCGACGCCGACGCCGACGCCGACGCCGCTCAAGCCCGAACAGGGCGCCTAAGAGCTGCGCTCTAAAAAAACAAATGAAGTTTAGAAAGTACCGAAACCAGTAATGACCTGTCGACATACCCACCACCAAGCAGTGGAAAAGTTGGCGCATACTAGAAAGATGTAGATGTACGCGGCGGCGCTGGGGTCGTGCGGACTGGCGGATCCGACCGGTTCCGAGCGTTCCCAAGGCCTTCGGCGAGCAGCTTTGGCTTGCGATTTGACCTTTTGGCGGTATGGTAGCGCGAAGTGACTTCCGTTTTGAACTGATCTTTACCCCGTGTTTGCTGTCGTTTGTGGATGCAAACGACAGCAAGTGTCATGCCAAATTAGTGCTTAATCGCGCAGCAAATGCAATGCAAGCCGCCCTGGCTGCCCGCTTCATACAACCTAGCCAGAACATGCTTTAGTGGCGCCCTCTCGAGCCCTCGACACGGAGTGCGGCTGCCGTGAGCCCTTGCTGAGGTTACTACCCCTCCTGTAGTTGATGGCCACTCTAGCAACCAAGGACGTCATGAAGGAGGTTATTTTTTGCTTGTTTTTGTAATTTTAATTTGCCTATAACTTTTAAAGTTCGAGAAAAGTTTCATTAAGTTACTACATTCAGTGCGCTCAGGTTCGGTGCAAATTAAAACCCAGTAAAAAAAGTCCTTGCAGGGTCCCTTTAAGGACCCCAAGCCACAGCCGTATATGTAGAGAGTTTGGCCATTCGTTGGGAAGTATAGGAGACAAATGAGGAGGCGCCATTGGCCGAAAGCGGGCTGGGCGTGTTCCAGGGCGTCTTCAGAAATTTGAATGTGACCAACCAGAAGCCGGAAATAATACCCTGGCGGTGCTCGCGAGAAACAAACCTGATAACTGCATTGGAGTAACTCTCAATGGCTGAAAATATGGTACACGTAATGTTTCAATCACGTTAATCCAAAATGATGGTAGAAGAGTGCGACTAGCGGAACGATCGACCTAATCCGTACGCCTAGCGCCGAGGGACGTGAATCTGCCGTCCGAGCAGCCACACTCTCTCCGAGCAAAACAGAGTTGAGCGACGCATTCGTTTCTTACATCTTTCTGCATGATCATGATCTTAACAACACGTGCACCCTATTATCAACCACGAAGAGTTACTACACTTCACTCTTACGCGCTTATTAAAACCATTTACGAACATACACCTTAGATCAGAACTGTTTCTCGCTACCACAGCTAGGAGATTCTTTTCGGCTTCTGGTTGGTCAAGAGAGCATGCCAAGCCCACTTTCCGAGTCTGCCGCACGCCCTGACTCTGCCCGCGCCTCCCATTGACCAAACTCTCTACATATACGGCTCTGCCCCAGGCTAGCGGTTGTACCGCACTGTATAGATTGCTCGTCTACAGTTGAGGCACCACACGCCCACTAAGGCAGACTAACTTACGGCTGTATACACATACACACAACACAGTTACTTTTTTACCCCTCCCGTTTCGATCTAGATGACCATCGGACCAGCGTGCGGTCGTGTATATCACTACTGCGTGATGCACGTTAATTATCCCATGCTAGCAGAGGTACTGCACCGGCTAAGTTCTTTCAGCATAAACCAACGCCGCCGTACCTCAAAGGCAAGCCGAATTTACGCTGTTTAAAGGCAAACAACATTTTCATTTTCTTTCTTTTTTTTGTAGATTGTTTAACAACAATTTATTTTTTACATGACTTATGAGATGGTGAGGATGACAAAGATGGCAGCCCCCAAGAAGAAAGCGGCGTCGCTGGGAGTAACATAAGCACAGCCATTTCACCTTCAGAACTAAGGTCCTCTTCAAAGCGGGATCGGGAGCCTCGAGCCCGAAGTTTCCTTTCCTCAGGAATTCCGGCATGAGCACGTACCCGCAGCGTCCATTCATCGAGAACTTGGCCTCGTTCATAAACATCTTTTGGTCCCAGCTCTGGTAGTTGAGCGCAACTGAGGGGAGAGAGGGAACGATTGTCAAGCGGTTGGACAATGTTTCGGAATCTTACGGCACAGGACAAAGGGCTGTGCTATGACAAGCTTCGGTGCGAGGCGCCTCTCTAGTTATCTGCGCTCCAAGGCCAATGGACCTGATGATAATGACGATGGTGATGACAATGGTGACGATGATCATGATGATAATCATGATTTTACGGCTTTTCCATTTTCAGCGGGGTAGAGCCGTTTACACTGAGAGAGTTTGGCCAATGGGCGGAGCTTGTTGCGCGCTAGAACCAGCGGATTTTACGATAACACAATATGGCGTTATATCTTTCTCTTCTTTATTTCTCAGAAGTCGCATAGAATTCCCATGAGTCAGAGCCCCGATATGGCAGATGGAAGTAGTCATCCGCAGGTTATCAGACTACGCTGCTGTGGTTGCCAGGCTGTCAAGATCTTCTTAAAAAAGCCAAACTCCCACAGTATTAACGGCTCTGCAGCGGGCGAGTAACAAGCGCCATCTGGGGGGTTGTCTGCGAACTACAAATGGAGGGCAGTCCAAGACACAGTTTGTGACGGTGGACTACAGGATTGCCGCGAAACGTCAAGATAGAATAACTACACAAATGCGTCCCTTTCCCAAGTTTTGAGGAATTACGAGCGACACAGGAAAAAATGCACAAAATTAAGATGCTCAATGCGAAAGATGGGCGACGTATCATGAATCTGCTAAATCAAGACACGAGCAAACTGGATGAATTTCCGAAACAGATACCACCGTGGGAACGGATAACGGAAGTTTCAGGCACTCCCATTCCCAAGAGCATGGGCCTTGATCACCAGGAAAGAAGAAGAAGATATGCCAGAAAACACAACGAAGAAATTGAGATCATCCGCAATGACCTCCGAGTTAGCGACATACTATACGGACGCGGCGGTCAGCAACAATAACGCAACGATAGTCTTTCACCTCCTAAACATAGGAACATGGGCATACCCAACAGTCGCAGACACCCTGGAAGAAGCCGAAGCGCAAGCAGTCTTGGCTGCAGTAGAACACACAAGCAGCAATACAATAGAAAAGAAAAGAATAACCATTTTTACCGATTCACAAAAGGTTATTAGAGCATGTAAGGTACACCATGCGGTAGGCCCGACAATACTAAAAATCCTAAAGGCGGCAATAACAACACTGAAGAAGAATGCAACGATACTCCTGCGTTGGATCCCGGGACACACGGGGATTAAGGGAAATGAGATTGCTAACAAAGTCGCGAAAGAGTATAGTCGTTCCCTCCTTTCCGACAGACCAGGCCAATCTCAACGAGTTCACCGGTACTCTACTTTATTAAAAAGTTTGAGTAAAGAATACGATCCTATAGCTAGCATAAATAAGGCAAAGAAACAACTACAGCAACAACTACGAAACAGGCATCCCGAAGAACAGGATCCTATCCCTTCTGGGCTCAAAAGATACCAAACAGTTCTCTTGAGAAGGGTAAGGGCAGGAAGTGCTATAACCCCGCACCTCCTCAAGAAATGGGAAACACAAGCAAAGTTGAGACAAGACCCGAAATTCATACCAAAACCACCAGAGTGTAACTTTTGTAGAGAAAAGATCCCACCAAATATCGATCATCTCCTGTGGGACTGCAAACACTTCAGAAGAGAAAGGGATGATGCACATGCAACAATAGATCCCGAAGATAAGCACGAAAACCTTAATGAATGAATAAAACCAGCAGGGGATTCTGGAAGAAGACTTCAACTGCTCAGATCCGTCAATTTCTACCTCGATAAAACGGGCCTCAGTAAAAATTTTTGAATTTTTTCTTAGGCCATGCTGTAGAGCAAATGCCTGAGCTTTAATTATGAAAGAAAATAAACGTATTTCATCATCATCACCAACATGACCGTCAGAGAATTTCAATAAGGGGGATCGGCGGACGAGAGTGAAGCGCACACCAGCTCGGAGCATGTGGAGCAAAAGCTCTCACTGCAAAACTCAGGGATCCTGGGTTCAATCCCCCACCCCTGCCCGTTTCGATCTGGATGGGCATCGTACTGGCGTGCGGTCGTGTATCACTACTACGTGGTGCATGTTAAAGACCCTAAGTTACTCATCTACAGCGAGGGACTCTGCAGTTTTGAAATGACTGAACATCTACACGCTGAATAAATGTCCACACAACCCCAATCCAATTAATTTTAGAATTTTAATTAACGTTCGTTTCACTCACTCACGCATGTATCCGCCCGTCAAAATACATTGGCCTCGTGTCATTGTATGGGTTTTTTATTGCTTTTTATGCCGCATACTGCCGATGCTAAAAAAAAGAATAGTCAAGAAGAACGCAATACACGCAAAGATAGGTGCTGACAATCTTGGTCGTGCGCAAAGGTGCCCTCGGGAAATGGCAACATCGGGAAGCGAGGCCAAGGGAGAAAGGTCCACCGTCGTCCGTATGGAGCTTATCTGTTTCTTTAGTGCCAGCTCTTCTGTTTGTATATGATCCTGTCATTGTGTATGTTCAAAGAACCGGCGCGAATGCTGCAAAGATTTTCAAATTACTGGATCTTTCCGAGTGCCCAAGCATTCACTTTGAAAAGCGCCAGATTCATGCAGGATGCCTCTCGGGGAATTCCTTTGGTGGCCTCGGACCGCTCCAAAAGCTCTTCAAGCTCGCGCCATTAGAGCGGTAAATACTAGCGCGGGCTTGCAGAGACACCAAGATATCAGCAAAAAGCGCTGCAAAACCGCTGTAAATCGACCAAGAGAATTCCCCGTCAATGATTTTCCTTACAGGCGTAGTGCAACTTTTTTAGCACGCAATGCCGACAGCGCGAGATCTCTGAAAAAATATGAGAAAATAGCCAGAATCATTATTAAAAATAAACAAGTATTTGCGAGTGTTTAGACAGCGTGAGCTCGATTTTCTTTGGGATATGGTAACATCAGTCTATGCTCGTAAACAAAATACAATCGTCGCACCTAGCTGTTTATGAATTCTGCCAAAAACGACCCTTGTAATCCCGTAACTGAGTGACCAAAAAAAAATTCTAAATTTTATTTGAAAGTGATTTTGAAGACAGAAACGCTCTTACACATGGCTGAGTAGTGAGGAAATGAAAAAAAAAATTGTGGCACGAAACGACATGATGTCGCCATCCTAATGCCTCATTCAAACTGGCGCTTGCGCCGTATTCGCGAAGCGATTGCTAACCCGGTTGCTTAAACACTTAGTGCATGTTCGAAGCATGCTTGCTTCATACATGCTTCGAAGACGCCTGCGGACAGTTTTTGTACGAACAATGAGACCGTCATGCCAGGAACGCCTCACACACTGCTTGCAGACTGCCTTCTGTATGGTGCATCAGCAGCGTGAGAGAGAGTGCAATCGGACGGATCAGCACTTGTGCGAGCTCCCAGTCAAGCGGTCGCGTACCGATCTGGCAGCCGACGTTCCAGTAGCGCACGGGGTCGTAGTTGCTCGAGTCCGTCCTGGTCCCCTTGGGGTAGATCCTAGACAGGTGCTTGCTGTTGTACCGGACGAAGTCTCGGGCTCCCTGATCCGTCGACGACAGCTTGGCCGCCTTGCCCTCGCTGAACGACGCCATCTCGTAGAAGTGCCCTACGCCGGGACAAAGCCGTCGCGTAACTTGATTTTTTTTTCTTTCTTTTTTTTTTTCAGCCAGTTTTACTAACGTAGCATCCACCCACGATAGACACCGATAGGCGCCGGTTTTATTTGAGCGAAAGTAAACGACAATAGACCATTTTCAAATGTGCGCGCCATCTATAATCGTGTTCACCCCAACAACCTTAATAAAAAAAAGTCTTGCTCCTTGCGGAACGTTATTAATTTCCACCTTCCTGTGTTAAATTAAGATATATGTGGGTGCAAGCCCAGATTAGCTTCGCGTTATATTATCATGACGCACACATTTTAAACAGCAAAATCAGCATTTATTCCTTTGACAACCAAATTTTAAAGTTGAACTGCGTTCCGCAGCTCATTAATAGTGCGCGCAACTTGTTTATTTCTTGACGCGACAACGGCTATGGTATGACTGCCCAGCCAATTAACTGAATCTAGCATCGTTTCAACACGTACTCTAATCACGTATCGGACACGAGGACTGCATTGGAGTTCGGCGCGAGCTCGGCTAGAGCTCGTATCGTAGACAATTACTGCGTTAGCGTTTGGCGCGGATTCGCATCCAATCGCGTGCTTCGTGCCGAAGGGTGAATGGATGGACAGATGTTAATGGTTATACCCTTTGTAAAGGGAGGTGGCTTGCGCCACCTAGCCTAAGTCTAAAAAGACCAAAGAAATTGCGAGCGCTAATATTGCTTGATGGCGTTTTGAAAAGGGTATGTGCATTTATGCCGAAGTTCAATCCAACCCTGATGCAATCTGCCAACCCTTTCGCGCGCTGACTAAAGGTGCGACACCCCGCACGCTCGCATCCGTGGCTTCGTCTACACTGCATCTCGCTGCGTATTACGGAATGTGTTTTACTTTTTAAGGAGAAAACGCATGTTGTGACATGCGTGACCTATCCAAGCAGTTTGAAACGTGTATTGTATAAAACAAAGCGATCTACACTCTAAAAAAAAAAAAAACCCGTGCGTCTACTTTCTCGCACGTCACCCGGAGAGCCAATCACCGTAACTTACGGAGGCAGTTCAGTGAATGACGATGCCGAAACATATGTTTTTTTAGACCAAAAACCGCACTCTGAAACTTCACGCCCTTGCACTGCCTAATATCACAACTCAAACTGCGTTTTTTTTTTTTTTTTTCTAAACATATGTTTTGGCATCGTCATTCGCTGAGCTGCCTCCGAAAACTGCGGTGATTGGCTCTCCGAGTGTTCTGCGGGAAAGTACACGCACGGGTTTTTTTTTTTTTTTTAGTGTAGTTAGAACCCTTAGGTATTTAATGTGTACCCTTTCCCAGTTTCAACCGCAATAGGTGTAAGGCTTTAGTTTGAATACTTGAGAAACAATAGGTTCAATCGACATATTTGTGGCATTGTTCAAACGACGACTGTACATTTACAGAGACTCCTGCTTGTGCACTGCCCCGCAATGCAGTCGGAACAGCAATTATTGGTTTTCTTTCGAGGAGATCGACCCCCCCCCCCCACACACACACCAAAAAAAAAAAAAGGGGGGGGGGGGGCGAGCGGTAGTATTAAGACAGCCAATAAGAAGGAGGCCCTGGTCGTTCTTGGTATAGGTTGAACGGATTAAAGGAAGAAAATGACTGGCATCACGGGTACATTAGGCAAGGCTTACGAAAACCCCACAATGAAGGACGGACATACGAAGTAATCGCGGTTTTCGTTAAGAGTTGCATAACGTCCGGGGATGCAAACACGTGAGGCTTACATTTTTCCGCCTCTTCGAAGGACTTGAAGTGGGACGCCTTGCAGTAGTTGACGATGTTGGACAGCTCTTCGGCCAGAGTTCCGGAAGTCGGCTGCCGTTTGGCAATAAAACATTAATCATTTTAATATATTAAAAGGTGTCGCCAAAGCCTGGGCAGGCAAAAAAACAACTAAAAGAAACAGCATTTCTTTGTTTTATAATTTCAGAGACAAGTTCCGTCTTCCCCATGCATTTATCAGACTCGGCGGACATTAGGTGAGGGGGTAATCGTAAAGTTAACTAAGGAACTAATATTGTCAATTAACTTTTAAATTATTGGTTTTCGGGGACATGTCAGAATTGCAGTGCTGGCGGTAATTATTAATAAGAAATGTGTGAAAATGTTAGGTTTTTTTGTGTTCTTTTTAATATCAATCAATTAATTTTCATTTCTTTTTATTTAAAAACTGCTCGCAAAAAGAGCGTTAAGCCGTGCCCAAAATGACGATTGGAAGAGTGTTGCGGCCGCTGAGGTCTTGTCGTCACCTGTGTCGTCGACGCACCCACCAAGGAGATGCTGCCGAGAAAGTGACGACATGAATGAACCGACGACGTCACTCCAGCGTCATTGTGGGCGGGGCTTGAGACGCTCTTTTCCAGCGCAACTTTTAATTCGGTCGAGAAAACGCGAAAATTTATCGATTAATATCTAAAAAAAACTATTACCATTTCGCAAATCATTTAAATTGGTCTGTTTGCAAATGCTCGTATATTCACAATGGTTTAGTCTTAACATCAATGATACTTGACGTTAAAATTACAAGCAGTGCTGTGAGAAGCAGGCTGAACCAAAACGGACCTATACCCTCATATTTCCACTCTTGAAAATTAATCGTTAGTGAGTATTTGTGGCGCTTATCAACGTCGTGGAATATTTTAGAAGCAACCGGAGCGTAACTTAGTCCCCTTCGTGCATGGGAAAGGGTAGCTGTACATGAATATATTTGTAAAAACATTTAGCTTGTGTTCGTAACTTAACTGCATCTTAGCTCCCCAAGTAAATATACGTGAAACTTAATAACCTTACCGAAAACACAGTTAGCTACCCCTATTTAGTTTTTCTACCACTGTAAATTTTTCCCATCGTCCGCACCAGGATCGGATTAACATCACTATGGCTAGTAACATTGTCAGAGTAACTTGGACAATTAAACCATCAAGCGTGGTTCGTTGAACGTTTGTACAGTACTGAACCTCTCGTGGTAAACGTCCTCGCTGTTCACGCATGACATTTCATGGACGCGTCTCATTCGCTGTCCCAGCGTGACATTCCATGAAAACGTCACGCGTTTCGTGGAAGCATCGGCCAGTCTCAGTCTGCCAGCGCAGAATCCAGTTTTAAGGGATCCTGCATGTTCCAAGCAGGATTTGCAACCGCGGTGGTTCCCGCGATACCAGGCCAGTGTTTATGAGAAACGATAACTAATAAAGAAGAAAGCACGGTTAACCAATCGATATAAAATTGTGAGGTCCTCGAACCCTCCGCAATGCCACTTACGTCTGGCAAAGACGCAAAAAATTATCAAAGCATTATTGAGACCAAAAGTTTCAAGTTGATAGTTGGGAGTGTATACCGCATGACAGTGCAATGATAAATCATCGAAAAACGCTTAAGCTGCAATCACACTGCTAGTACATCATGCAAAAGGCAGTTTGTAGGAACTGTCTGGGGCGTTCCTTGTATGACGGTCACATAGCTCATACAAAAGAACTGTCAGGAGACATTGTTGAAGCACGTAAGAAGCATGCATGCTTCGAACATGCTTCAGGCGTGTACGCAGACAATTCTGCAGACAGTGTCTTTTGTATGACGTACGAACCTTGCGACTGCTGCTTTATACGTGAGATGAAAGCTCCCGTCCGAAACGCGCGTGATTGGGACACTTGGAAACCAAGGATAATGGCGTGCCGTTTACTTTGGAAGTGCTCTCGTCTTCGCTATCGTCATCGGCATCCACCGAGAGGTCTTTGTTGAGTTTCTTGCCCTGGAAAGTGCAGAAATGCGACGGGTGCCGACGTCACACGCAAGCGTCAAAGAAACGACACAGTAAAAGCAAAAGCTAAACGTGCGAACTACAGCACTACTTAAACTTTGAACAAAAAAAGGCAATGCAAACGATAACGTGTACGAGGTCAAAATGTTCTGACAACCACTCCAAAGAAGCTCAAGTGATGCGTTCAAGCAACGTGAAGAGTGAAACACATCGCGTGTGCATGGGAAGCGAGCAGGTGTGAGAGGTAGAATAATGAGCCTAGAATGATGTTTCTCACCACGGGTTTCTGAACCTACTTTCACGGCTTTATATTTAGTTCACCAGGCGTTGTGAATATCTGATTCGCTCGAGAAAGGTAAAAAGCAAACCTGCCGCTACATATTTTTTTTTTTTTTTTTTTGTATCTTGACTTAGCCGTTAGGTGCCGTCGATGTCGCAGAAGTCGCCAATACTTGGCGTCAACTATTTTGTGCTACCCTGTCAAGGCTAGTGTATAGCTTCTACAGTCCTGCAGCCCAGCACTGTAACTTTGTCTTGCGTCGCATTCGCACGCGCTACTAGTTTTAACAGTGTTAGAGAGGAGCGGAAGCTATACGCCAGCCTTAACAACGTAGCACAAAATAGTTTCGCGTCGAGTATACGGCTACAGAAAATGCTTCACTCAATGCAGAAATTCAGATGGCTCATCCGAACGCTGCGCAATAATGGCGCCAGGAATCCAAGAATGCCCACGCCTATAGAAAATGTGAATGTGGCGAACCGTGCGTTTATAAGCCTCAAAGATGGTGCTATATTTATGATAGACATAACACTACAAAACGTTATTATAACAGACACGTTTCATCCAAGAAGCTTAGGTGGAGGATGACCAGAAATATTTTCATTAGAGGGCGCTAAAAACGGGCAATTTTATAGCTATAACTCTTGAGCCTATTACGAAACAGACCTTGATGAGAATTTTGTTGAGGAGAGCAGACGGTGGCGGCATGGCCGTTTCCTTGTCACTGATGGGTTTGTTGTGGAGTTTATCTAAGGGGAGGAAAATGCTGCGTTGCAATTTGGTGGCAAGGTCTTCGTCATACTTAGAGAACATTTCGAAAGCGAAAGGAGATGGCACAAACAAAGAACAAGAAAGAAGTGGGAGATGGCAATTACTATCGCGAGTCGTTACCTAATAGCAATCGAAAAAAAAAATCCCTGCGATCACGGTGGTGTGCAGTGTGACACAAAAAACTACCTTACATGCCTGAAATATATATATATAAAAAAGAATGATCAGCGCTTCACGTGACAAAGGGTGTTTCCAAGACGGCCGAAGTCACCAATAAAAACGCCACGAATTTAGTTCCACCACCAACTAAATCCAGAAAACTACGAACGGCTTACTTCGCAAAACGCAACAACAGTAAGCGAGTCGTGTTCCGTGTAGCCACTAATCGCATGTTTTATCCGACTGCATCGCAGCCAACACTGAAACTCAAGGTTAAGCGCCTCAGTAAACCCGCGCGTGCTCCATCTAAAAAGAGAGCTAACAAAAAGCGACTTCGTAGACGACCTTACCGCCGAGGATCTCTACCAGGTGTTTGGCCATCACTTTCTGCTGTTCCGTCGAGCAGTGGTTCTCCAGCGACAGGATCACGGGGTACCTGCGGCGAGGTGATCCGCAAACGTCTAATTATGATTACAAAACCTGTGAAATATCAGCATGTACGGTACAGTACTCGGAACGCGTTTCCGACTGTTGTGTTTAGCCATAGCGTCCAAAATATACTGACAAAGCCTGGCAGATCGCCACGAGAAGCGGCCGCAGAAATGGAAAAGGTGGAGCGGCAGACAACGGATGAGAGGAGAGCCACGTGACTAGCGCCCCGCTGCGGTGAGACGCCGAAACACACTTCTCCCGAGCGAACAAGTGTGTTTCGGGTGCTCGCCGCTGCAAACGCTGTGCGCTGACGTCCAGGTTCCCCAAGAAATGGCTCTTTGATGTTCTAGGCTACCAGATCCTCGCGCTCCAAATCTGCGAGCGGGCACTTCATGGCTCCGTCGTCGAACTGCCAGGCCTTGTGAGTATAGAAGAGGCTATGTCTCAGATGGAAGGGTGAACGGAGTAAAGTCCATTCTCCCTTAAGCTCACCTCCCCCAGCTCGCGCCTGTGATTTGCACGACGAGAAAACGCTAGAAAGGCCATAAAAAGATACGCACAAGGTATACGTCAGTATGGCCACAGTTATCCCCGAATGAAAGCGTTAAAAAGCGAGAAATTACTTATTAAAGACGACAAATATAGGAAATGGCTACTTCATTATATGTACATATTCGGGGTAACGAAAATATAACACGTTACTTTCGAGCTGTTGTAACGTGTTCCTTTTGTAATCGATGGGACGAGTAATGTACCTAGTTACTTTTTCACTAAGGAGCGAGTAACGGTGTTTAATTACTTAATTTCAGCAACATTTCATGTCTGAACACGCGTGGCGATATCGAGCAACTATGTACGCCCTACTAAAACCCATTACCGAAGACAACGTGACGCTTACTGCGAGTCCTCGAACGCGTAGAGCTTGACGGAGTCCAAGATGTCCCTGAAGAGGATCTTGGAGGTTAGCGTGTAGCCGTGGTACACCACGGGCTCGTTGTTGGGACCGTCCCACACGTCCACTACAAACACAAGTTCTTTCTCAAGTTCGGGCAGCAACTGTGATGTAATCATTCTGCTGACACACGACAGCGATCGTGAAATAGATTACGTAATTTAATCTGCTGTGAAACCATAGTTCAGGGGAAACTCCTCCTCATCTTTGCACTTTAGGGGAGTAAAACTGGAGATGAGGTCGCCTCCCATCGTGGCAAGGAACAAGACAAAACTGGGACGTGAAATCCTAGAGGCACTTGCCATTGAGGAAAAAGGCGATGACTGCATTAGTGCACCTTCTCTCGTGCTGCACGAGAAAGAAAAAAGATTTCTTCGGGGGTAAAAATTTAAAGGGGAAATAGAAAGAAAATTTTAAGGTGAATTAGAAAGCAAAAAAAGAGGAAAAGAAGGAAAAGAGAACTGTTTCCTCAAGTGTGGCTCGTAATAGAAGAGGAGGAAAAAGAAAATCAGTTGTTAGTCCAGCGGTGTGAATGGTCTTTTCTTTATGTGTATGTTTTTTTCTAGTTCAGCTGGCCTTAAGTGCATTATGAACCAACTAGCTCAGCTCAAGCCTGTGAGAGAGATGTGTCCGAACGGCACCGCCTTGCGGTGGTACAAGTGTGTCGAAGGTTCGCTCGCATTCCTGCAAAACGCCGCGAGATGCGCAACATGACTAGGAGCTCAAAGAAGCGTCCTTATTCGCGCACGCGCTTCCAAGGCCGCGCGAAGGCCCCTAAGCCGACAGTGCATATGCCCCTGCCGGATAAATGAGCGAAGCCCGAGCGAACTTCTGCCCCCTTGGCTAGCCTTGTAGCCTTGTTCAGACATCTCTCTCTTCTTCCATCGTGCACATGAGCGTCCGCTTGAGGAAGAAAAAAACTAATTAATATAGATAAGAATCTTAACATTAATAAACGCTCCCTTTTCCAACATTAACACGTCTAAGCAACACCTGATGCGTATTCCCTGCTTGTGAAACATGAGGAGGCTGATGTAAGCAGTGTATCTACGCCAACTAAAAATACCGAATCCGTGACAAAAGAAAAAAATTAATAAAACCCGGTTTCGCAGAAAGCTGTAACTGCGCGAGAATGTGACGCTAGCAATGGTGATCAAATGTGCAAGTTTAAAAACAGGAACTGGATCAAAAGATAAAAGATGTTTAAAAGCCCCAATATTCGTCAAGTCAAAAACAACCACGTCTCAGCGAGAAAGACTACTGTTCTCTTTCTTACTGACAATTTTTTTTTTCACCGAAGTAAATGCTTCAGGCGCCCACAAAACAATATCTCAAATTGATAAATATTTTGCTTAGGTGAAAGTGTGAAAATAATTTTTTTTTTTTTTTTTTATTATTAAGGTAACCTCCCAATCTCAACCTTTCGCATCTTATCACCGTCGGTAGCGTCATTCTCGCTAAGCTTCAGCATTCTGCGATGCGTAGTTTATTTATTCGGGTCGGAAAACTGGGGTTCATTTTATCTCCGGAAACGGTAGTTTCATGGTCCGTTTAACGTTTAGCGTCAACAAGCTCAGTCACTGCTGATTGGTAAGGCACGACAGGCATAAGAATAAACTACGTGTACAACTTTATAATGACAACCGACGTTGTGACCCGACCCAACAAACACACACGCCCGCAAATAACAATTCTGCAGTGACTGATACGTTTTGCTCATGAGTAAGGAGCCTTCAGAATCCATGTCACCTCCAACATGTTTAAAATGACCCTATAGATGTATGCAAGTACGGCTTCTGCAGACGCCGCATCTTGCTGCCCTGGCGTGTACAGATCATCTGATAGTTCAAGGCTTACTACGGTGGCCAGACTGGCGCCCAAACAATGCATGTTCAATCTACGGTTGCCAGACTAGCTTGTAAAGTGTGGCTGCTCGTTGATGTAAAAACTCGGGAAGAGAGTTCGGTCTACTCACACTCCAGACAACGGCAGCCCTTTTTCAGAGCCCGAATGTAGCCCTCCACGCTGCTGCTTCCCATCAGCTGACCTTGAACCAGGTAGCTGCACAGAAAACATCGGTTAGCTGCTATTTTCGGCATTTATTGTTGTTCGTACGATTGGCCGTAACAAATCAAAGTTGATTATACTCAAAGGAAATAGGCAGTTATCGGCGTTTATTTACAGTCGGCGTAACATAGTAAAAAAGAAAAAAAATCCGGCGAAACACGAAGAGAAGCGAACAGCAATGCGAAAACCCAACTGACTGTAGAATAATATTTACAAAAAATATCTTAATTTCTGGCTGATTGAGCCTTTTTTGTCACACACCGTAGAAGCGGCAGCGTTACCATAACCCTTGTTGATCCATATCAACTCTCCCTAGCATCTTACATAGCTACCAGGAGTCCAAAATAAGAAGCGTCACTGGGCTATCGGATAATGTGCAAATATTTATTGCCTCCTCCGTCAAATGATAGGCCTATATATCCGTAATTTCCGGTAAATATAAAACACCGGAAGCAGCATGGACATTTTTCGCAAAACCTAATACCAGCGTAAAGCTGATCCATCCTCGACCCCGGTGCATTTCTGGATTACCCTCTGACACCGGGTATGCAACTGCGAAGAGTATAGGCGAAAAGTCTTAGATACGGACGTCGTGTGCAGGACCCAAACCTGACCTGTCCACAGAGTGGCTTCCTACGGGAGACGCTGTCGCCGATGAAGTGTCTCGCTTTGCCATTGGGGGCGCTCGGTAAAGGCTTCTCTCAGAGCGGTTTATCCTCGGTATACACGTTTGCAAGTCCGGCTTCAGGGCGCTGCCATCTTGCTTGGCTGGGGTGCGCTTGGACGAGTCATAATCCGATTACGAAGCCTTGCTAAGGCGTCGTAATCGGATTATCGCCGCGCCGAAGAGCGCACCCCACGAGGAAGATGGCGGCGCCCTGAGACCGGACTTGCAAACGTGTATAAACGGCTCTGGCTTTTCTGCGACCCAAACGCGGTTCACAGCTTGTCTGTGCGCACACGGTCCTTACGGCGAGCGGCAGGTGATATCTGTTTGTCGGGAACACCTATCATAGCGTGGCGCCATCAGGCCGCAGCAGCAGTAGTGTACTTAACAGGGCACCTCACTCTCATGTTTGCTTTGATCGAAAGTGCGCGTTTCTCAGGCACGGAAGCGCAAGGGCATTTCTTTGCTCCAGCTGCTCTCGTGCCATCATCGAAATAAGTCGCACTCTCGGATCACACATGAACAGCCACTGTGTTGCCAGCCGGCGTCTCTAGTGACAATTCGAATCTGTCACGCGCCCACTGGCTGACGAAGCTGACGAAGCTGACGAGCCTGCGAGATGCCACGAGGGGGGCAGGTCAGGACCAGATAACGCCGCCGTGCCTTGCCTAGGAAAAACAAATTTGTGCAGCGCCGCGAAGTCATAATACACAGTTCAATTTTCTACCAGATAAATCGTAGTTATGCTTCGTCTCACCTTAGCACGGACTAACTGCGAAGGATGTGCAAGCGCGAGCGGCTAGCCCTGACTGCCTTGACTGGAGCACTTGCTGCACGAGCGCTCGAGTTTTTGTCGCATTTCTATTTGAGCATCCCACATGTCCGCCACGGTGCTGCTGATGCGCATCCAACCACAGGAACCGGAACCGAAGTGCACGCGCTAATCCGCAGCACCGCGGTACAAGAAGCTCTACTGAAGCGTTAACACGGCGCTATCTGAAGCGCTAACAAGGCGCTATACTGGAGCGCTAACAAGGCGCTACCGGAGCGCTACAGAAGCGCTAATCGCGCGCTATGGTAGAACTAAGTCACGCGCTGGGAAGCGCCACATGAGCGCTCCTTGGAGCGCTCACGTAGCGCTAACTTAGCGCTCCGCTGTATGTGTGAACAGGCCTTTAGTGTCACTAAATAAGCGCTTCAGAGTAACGACACTTGCCCATACTGTGACTTAAAATCATCGTTGCCAGAACGCTGTAGCTGCCAGTTATCTGAAGCTTTATCTGAAATCACAATAGACGCTTTTCTGTCCTCCACAAATGTGTCAACAGTTAACGATAGAAAGAAGCAATATTACATGACACCTAATCCTAAAACCGAATCCTAACACCGAATCTTATGCTGAGGAAGTCGCACTTTTGAATCATGACGATCGTCAGTTGCGTCTGCTCTGCACCAGCACCAAAATGGCGGCGCCCACAACACTGTAGGGAAACAGAATGTCGATACTATAAGCGCAGCTCATTTAGTGGCTCTAGTGCGTATTATCCCGTGTTTATTTTTAGTAAGAAAGACTTCTCACGTGTTATGCGAAGATGCGATGTAGTAGTGGTTCAGTGGCTGATTCATGTCCTGGCAGACGTGGTTGTGCTCCTTGTCGAAGATGTTGTGGTCGTCCGACAGGAGCATGTCCCGAAATCCTGCCGAAGAACATTTCAACTTTAATAACATTGGAAGTTGTAACGCGGTGAGCCAGCCGAACTTTGAAGCTAGACAGCGGAGAGATACTTAGACGGCGCACCAGGCAGTCCCAGGAAGCCTTCAGGATTGTTCTTGTCTTTGGCGAACTTTTCAATGATTTGCTTGCAGTCGCTAAGCGTCACGTTCATCTAAACCAGGAAAAAAGAGAAATCTGGAGGTTAGGAAAAACCTTGTACCGTATTCGCAAGCTTACAGATGTCCTTCAATATTCTTCGTTCTGATGGTGCGAACTGAACTAAATCCAGCATTTCTACCGACCCGACCCGACCCGACCCGACCCGACCCGACCCGACCCGACCCGACCCGACGGAACCGGTCCGACACGACAAATACTCAAATTTTCGAATAATACTTCTGCAGTGACCAATACCTTTTGCTCTTGAGTAAGGAACCTGCGGAGTTCTTCAGGTCCCATTATGGTCATGTTTTGGGCAGTGTAACTAAAAAAGAAAATCAAACTCAACACAGGAACTAATACGCGGCACGAACGAATTCGTTCGTAAGGTTTGCATATATTTTTATTCTTAAATATTATAAAACATGACGGTAAACTTACTTACGTCTTAAAAATCTTATCGATGTCGGGCCTAGACAAGAGACTGTGGTAAAACTTGATGAATTCCTCCCGGTCCAACACGTCTTCTCCGTCCACCTTATGGCACTTGAAGTTTGCAGCCTGTTGTATGAAGAAATCAATTTGTTGTCCACCCACGTTTGGCCAAAGTAATGTAATGTTTTTCCAGTGTCACACTTTTGACATGGCGCCACGCACGTTGTGGAGACTGGTGACCAGTAGTCAACGTAAGCTTTAGATAAGGTAACGAGAACTCTGTTGGAATCAACAGATCTTGAGAGAGCGTCAGTCAGGTCTTGGAAATTTGCACAGTCAATTTTATGGACCTAATGCGGAAACGTAGAAAATAAGAAAGAACAAGACAAACATACAAACGTTCTACCACATCACGTCGGAAACTTTATGACCTCTCAAAGTGTGCCAAGGATCAATTTAAATATTTAATCATGTCCAAGAACCAGCTACGGTAAACTTTCTCTTAAATGTAGAGTTACGCGCTTTAACCTCTTGTCATCATCGCGTTCTCAGGTAACCGCGTTCTTAGTAAGCAACAAAGCATATACTGCCCTCATTGGCTCGAAGTCTGCAGCCTCGGATGTTTCTCACGGAAAAGGATGGATAAGCGTCACGTGGACGCACTCACATTGAAGAGGGCCCTGCAATGGTTCTTGTCCATGGACACATTGAGTTGCTTGAGCAGGTTCTGACACTCTGAAAAGTTGAGGGAGCCGCTCCGGTTGACGTCAGCCTTCTGGAACTGGTCCCTGAGCCACCTGCAAGACGCGCATTGCCGAAGACTTTGTTAACAAGTCATGCGTGCTATATGAAAAGTCTAGGCGAATTTCGGCGTTTGCAAGAACCGTATACGATGCCAACCACCGTAACAAAATTTAAAAAAAAAAATCTCACAGCCTATTTTGATCATTCTCAAGAATGCACGTAACGTGACCACCGTCACGTAGATGGCATCGTATTGCTTTGCTCTGCCAGTCGTTTCTCACACAGCCTCCCCTATTCTACGTTAAAAAAAAAGTGAGAGAAAATAGATGTAGCATGGAGGCTGAGGTAAAAGGCATAATAAAAAGACAAGTTCAAAGTTGAGGCTGCCATTGGACGAACGACAGCGGGGAAGATGCAAAGGAAAGACAAGCATCTGTCAGAGGATCGGGACCATACTTGCTGCACTGCAACGACGTGACTCGCCGACTGACAATATTTGGTACATCAAGCTGAGGGTCACACCGCCAGCACGTCATACAAAAGACAGCTTTCTGACACTGTCTGAGCTGTGTTTCTTCCTTGTATGACGTCCTGTCACGTTGGATATGTCCGCAGATGGTACTGCCATCATGTCTGCAGAAAACGCCATGTCTGTTGTAGGATGTGTGAACAGTGTGACTGCAGCTTTAGGTAGAGGTTAACTGTTGCTATTGAAAACGCCAGCTAGGTGGCGCAAGCCGTCATCCGATTAAAAGGGTCCAGCCGCGCGCAAGCGTCCATCACCTCTCGTACTCCTGGTCCCTCCGCGTGTTCTTGCAGTTGGCGACGAGGTGACGCAGTCCCCTGACCCAGAGCTCGCAGTCGTTGGCATTACAGGCCACCAGGTCCAGGGTGTCGTTCTTGGGCGATATGACGATCGAGAAGCACGTGTCCTCGTTCATGTTCAGCGAGCCAAAGGGCAGGTAGCTCTTGCGGCGGCGGAACTTACTCTCCACGTCGTTGAAGACGTCCGTCTTCCAGCCCTTACGCACTTCCTCCACATCGAAGATGTCCACTGCGGAGAAGATATACATTTTCGATTATAATACGTGAGACCCTTACAAAAACACGTCTGAACTTTTTTTTTTAGACTTTTTATTGACTTTCCGGGATCCTACTGAATTTCTTTATAAACGGATTTTGTTTTGATTATTGTCAGAAAAACTTTCAAAACAAAAAATACTCGATTTTTTTTTGTAGACTTATTTATAAAAAAATTAGAAAGAAGTTATAATGACGTTTTTCTGTAGGTTATTTTCTTAAAAAATTCAAAAGGAAAAAAATAGATTTTGTTTTGTAGACTTACTTACAAAAAACAAATTAAAAAGTTGTTGTAACGACTTGTTTTTTGTAGCTCATTTTCTAAAAAAAAAAAATAAAACTTATTGACATTATTTCTTTATATTATTTTATAAAAAGAGAAAAAAATATTATTTTATGTGCACGGTCTGCGGTCGTGTGCTGGGTCCGGCATGACGGCGATGGATATATGGTTCTACAAACCCCTATAAAAATGTCGTTCAACTTTTTATTGAAAATGTGTTAACTTCTTGTTCACTCTGATTACTTTTTTTTTGACTTTGACTTCCTGTTCACATGGTTACCAGAAAGTTTGTTGATTTCGTGTTGAAACTTTTCTGATAATTTTCGTCCTGTCACTTTCTGTTTCTTCGACTTTTATGTTTTCTACCCCAGACTCAGGCATATTCAACATGGTTAACATCCACCAGCTCGCCTGCACCCTTACTATTTTATCCAAAATTTTCAGTTGACTTTCTATAGCCAGTGTCAATAGAAACTCTACAGACTTTATGCTGACTTTTTATTGAACATGGTACATCTTGACTAAATGTCAAAAAGTCACTGAGTTTCTCAATAGTCTCTGACAAGTTGAGAACCGTAGGGAGGAGCTTCAGTATGCCTGCCTCGAGCGCGAGCCTTCTACCCTTGACAACGCTTCGACGATTCGCGCCCCTCGAGCTCGAGCGCGCACTCAAAGCGCGACGGAAGGCATGGGGCGCGTGCTGGAGGCCAGGCGTTCAAAAAACACGCCCTGCCGTTCTCACTTTGTAAGTGACTATCGTGACTTTATTGACCCTATTCAACTAGTCAACTGCTAAAGAAAAGCAAAATAACTCTATTAAAGTGGAGCAACCGCCTTGACTGGTTTCGTCTTGAGTAATGCTATGCAGAGAAGCGATAACATTTGTTCCATGAGCCGTTTTTGTGGATGTTGTTTTAGCGACTACGCGGAATTGTTATTAGTTGTTCCTATGCTTTTTAGTAAGAGATAGAGTGCACGAACTTCGAAACACTGTCTTCCCTTTGACAGACTTTCGAGAGGAAGAAGACGACGACGTGATAGAGGCAACCCTCGATTTGTTCGCTCCGGAAAAGTTTTATAATTATTTTCAGTTACCTGCTTCAAACACGGCTGAAAACTCTGCGCTTCAACGAGGAGTCGCCTTCCGAGGCACCTGAGGCAGAGGCCGCGGACTCCACCCTCTCGGATCACTAAACATGAGCCAACCGAAAACATCGCAGCCCGCCGGCAACGCAAACGAATCTGCCGAGACATCGAACATCCCTGATGAACCCTCTGACAGCTCTATGGAAGACTCGGACAACGAAATGCCGTGGAACGTCAAGGCTACCAAGAAAAGGCGCCACGGGTCTAATTCAAGTGAGGCAACAATAATCACTCAAGTTTCTCACAACCTCACTGTCATCGTTAAACCGATGGACCCTACAAAACTCATCACGAAATTGAACCCTTTGGTTCTGAAAGAAAAGCTTGACAGTCTGGCACCAGACGGCATCATCCAGATTCGACCAAACTATCGTTTGAACCTCCTTGCTCTTGACACCCGAAATCTGGAATCAACAAAAGCCATACTCCAGCTGAAAAATATTGGTCCACTCCACGTTCACACTTACGAACCTACTCCCGCATCCTCGTCTGTCGGAGTCATCCGGGGAGTATCAGTAGAGATCGCAGATGATGACCTGTGGGCATCCATAAGAGTGAAATCCCCAGGAACCCAAGCGAGAAGACTTGGCAAATCAGAAGTGGTAAAACTTATCTTTACCACAGGAACACCGCCTGACCATGTCTATGTGGGGCACACCAGATACCAAGTACTCCCATACCTCGAGAAACCGCGACAATGCCTGAAATGTAATCGCTTTGGACATATCGCAAGCACTTGCACAAAAGCCCAAAAATGCAGCCGTTGTGGAGCTGATCACGACACCAGCAAGTGCGAAACACAAAAACCTAAATGCATCAACTGCAAGAAAAGCCATGATGCAGCGTCACGAAACTGTCCAACATACAAAGCGGAAAAACAAATATCCAACTACAAAAGTTCCAACAACGTAGATTACTCAACAGCGAAATCAGCTATCATGAGCAATCCAGAAACCGACGTCGTACAACACCACGCCCTGCCCAAACACAGACATGGCTGGAAAGAAAACTTACAGCCCCCTGTCCCGCCGATGAGTGACAACAACTATCCTACATTGGATGCCTCGACGTCCCGAGCCACGACGAGCTCTGCGGTTACATCATCACAACAGTCCGGATCTTCAAGGGGCACGGAAACAACCGCTGATGGAGCAGCTTCGAAAGACCAGCAAAGTCCCCCGAAATGGGCTCGTGATCGCCCAGCTAAGAAAAACTCACGATCAAACGACACGCCCAAGCCTCAAAGCCAAGGAAACGCATTTTGTACGTACAATTGCTTTGTTGCTACGCTCTTTCCTGACTTCGGTCAAGTCCCCTGTAGCACAGGCTGTGATTACAATCATTGACATTATCACCCCGCTAGTCGCCGCCTGGGACAACTAGCCAGCTACCTTCTTGCAAGCCATTCAGACAGCTGAGCTATGCCACCACCAAACAAAAATACATACTCCTACTGGAAAAAATAGTATAATTCCTTCAGTTATTCAGTGGAATGTTAATTGGCTTCGAAAACGAATAGAAGACCTAAGACAATATTTACAATTCCACACAGTTGAGGTATTAGCCCTACAAGAAACTAACATAAAACCAGGAGCGATTCGACTTGCTCCCTATGCCATATATAACAGCACCCCTCGGACAACTCAGTCATCAACTGACGCTCCGAAGGCATCCCTGTTTGTACATTGAAGATTGACTCAGGTGCAGCTGGATCTCTCGGATCTTTGTGACGACAGTGCTGAATACGTGGCTGTGAAAATTAGAAAAGGCAACTCAGACGTCACCATTGTGTCTATTTACGTTCGACCTAATTCTCACTGGAACCCATCCGTCTTACGCACAATACTCTCACGATGCTCACCAGCCACATTACTCCTAGGTGACTTCAACTCGCATAACGAGACATGGGGAGATAAGCAAACCTCTAGTCGAGGGAGATTGCTCGAGGATCTGGCAACAGCCATTGGTCTCCAATGTCTCAACGACGGCACAGCAACTTTTGTAAGGCCCGGCGTTGAACGCAGTGTTCTGGATCTGAGTTTCGCAACTCCTTCTATAAAAGCACTTTGGTCGCCCGAACGAGACAGCTGGGGTAGCGATCACCTCCCCATAATTATCACTTCCCCGGCACAGGGTCCGATCACCCACAAAAATTGCTTAGTGACTAACTGGGACGCATACCGGATATACTTCGAGGAGATAATATCTCATGGCAATGTAGACCACAGGAATGCCATCTCTCAGGCCCTCTCCAGAGCTACCCGAAGCGTGACAATACCAATATATCGGCCTAACCCTGATCTAACCTACCTCAAATTGCGAGCACTGCGCCGCAAGGCGCAGCGCCGCTCTTTTATTACATCTAGGCAAGAAGACATCCAGCGTTACCGTAAACTCGACGCTGCATTTCGCAAACACACCCACCGCTTACAACGTAGACAGTGGCGACAGCGATGTGAGTCTCTTCACTCTCCGGGAGGTGGAAGACGAGCGTGGCATATGGCTCGTGTTCTCGCCGGACATGCCACTCCTTGCTCACCTGCTCTTGGACTAGCACTAATCCACAACATAACCGTGGCACAAGCTGTAGAACAACTAGCAGATGAATTTACCTCCATACCTGCTCCGCCATCAGGCTTTGCTGTAATTAGCACCGCCGGCCCTGTACCAACAACGCTAACTATCGCAGACTCGGACTTCACAATGGGCGAACTACACCATGCTCTTCGGCGTTCTTCTGGAAAACGCAGTGCACCAGGTTTGGACGGTATCACGTTTCAAGCTCTTCGAAACCTCTCTGCCGCAACCCTCCCTGGCCTCCTAGACAACATCAATGACATTTGGCGCTCGTTTGTCCTTCCTCCTGCATGGCTACAGTCCGTGGTGGTTCCAATTCATAAGCCAGGAAAACCGATCGGTGACACTTCTTCCTACAGGCCTATCTCCCTCACCAGCTGTCTGGGGAAGATTATGGAACGAATGGTCTTGCGGCGTCTAGACTGGCAGCTTGAGTCATCTGGTGTCCTTCCTAATCAACTGTCTGGCTTCCGAAAACTACGCTGCACGATGGACGCGATCAGCGACCTTGTATCAGACATGGAGGAATCCAAGGCCACAAAGCAAGCTTTCACAGCCATATTCCTTGACATCAAAAAGGCCTTTGATTCAATTCCCCACAGTACCATAATTACCCAGCTTATCAAACTTGGTGTGCAAGGCCGAGCACTTGCATTTATACGTGCATTCCTGACTGGTCGCACAATGTGCGTACGCCTAGGACGAGCCTGCAGTTCGAACCGTGCAGTAGCTCAAGGCGTTCCCCAGGGTAGCGTAATAAGCCCGTTTTTGTTCAACGTTGCCATGGCCGCTTTGCCAGAGGCCATACAGCTGATGAACATCGATACACCAGTAATAAACATTGCAATTTACGCTGATGACGTGGCCCTCTGGGCTTCTGCCCCCACAAAGGTGTACAGCAAGATGCAGCAAGCGCTACAGGATGCTCTAACCATACTTGTTGACGAAATATCAAAGCTGGGACTTACTCTCTCCACATCTAAAACAGCTGTCCTTCAATACCATCCAACGGCCCGAGCTTCAATTAATAGAATCTACGAAATCAGCGGAACAGAAGTAACGCGGGTTCGAACGTACTCCTACCTAGGCTTTCTACTAGATGACCGCATCTCCTGGCGCCCTGCAGTCAAGTCAACACTCATCAAATGTCGCCGACACCTCAATGCCATCCGTATGATCATAGGCAGCAGATGGGGAACACCTCAAGCAATGATGATGCAACTGTATAGGGGCCTGATTCTTTCCAGACTGATGTATGCATTGCCATTAGTTCACATCAGCAACGCGCAGTCATTAGCCATTGAAACACTTCAACGAATTGCTGTTCGATTATGTCTAGGCCTACCCAGGTACGCACCCAACATTCCGACGCTAGTAGAAGGAAGGGTGAACCTTGTTCAAAACCACGGTAAAGAACTGACGCTTCGCCACATTGCACGGCAAACGACCTGCCAGTCAACGGGTTCTCTCCTGAACCGATTGCGCAGCCGTCCCCTCTCCCGTCTAGGATACCTCGCAAAAGAGTTTGAAGGGCTTATAGACGCTCCTGCTATGATCTACCTAGCCCCACCGCCATACGCCCAACCACTGAAAATCAATGAGTCCATTCCCATGCTCAAAAACAAACAACTCACGGCACAAGTTGTCGCCCGAGGCCTCGCTGAAGAGGTAATAGAAGAATCTTTTGTAGAATGGGTACATGTCTACACCGACGGCTCGGTGCTTCACAGCTGTGAATCATCTACTGCAGCAATCTTCATCCCAGAACTCAATGTGACCAGATCAAGAAAACTCAGTTTTCATACCTCCTCCACAACCGCTGAACTAGCAGCTCTTTGGCTTGGCCTTGAAGCACTTGACGATATCTCCAACTGCGAAAAGGCCGTCCTTCTAACAGACTCCAGAGCAGCACTGGTGCTTCTCAGCAACCTAGACGATGCCCCCCAATATGCACGGTACGTTGCCCACACAGCAAGAAACTTGGAAACAGAAGGCTGGCAATTAGTATTTCAATGGCTGCCCTCACATGTTGGCATCACAGGCAACGAGACAGCCGATCGTCTTGCAGCAGAAGCGCACCACCTCAATGTGCCAACACTCTATGTATCGAAAATTCACGAGGCCAGACAACTTATACACAAAGAAATAAAGCGACAACATCCTGACCCGCGAGTCTCAGGAGGAAGACCACCCGCACGTGTGCCACCAAAGCTTTCACGAGCCAGCGCCTCCATTCTGCATAGGCTTCGCACTGGGTGTGCCTTTACAGCAAAGGCCATTCATCGTCTGGACCCCACAATCAGCCCAAACTGCTCAAGCTGTGACATTCCCGAGGACCTAGAGCACCTCATCTGGGTCTGTCCAAATCTAGCGGACGCGAGGAAATCTTTCCTCGATGGACTACAGCTCGCAGGGGTTGCCCACGGGACAACTGAAGACATTCTTTTTCCCCCAGGCTCAGTAAGAGATGCCACTAGAACATTCGCCTTGCTCATAACGTTCTTAGAAGATGCAGATCTAATAGACCGGCTCTAAAGCATGGTGCCATACGCCCCGAGCCAGTGAACTGTCCATTCTCATAGGTAGTCCAAACTACCTCCACTCCCTATCTCTCCTTCCTCTCCTTTCTCTTTTCTACTTCCTTCTTTTGATCCCTTATCCCTAACCCGTCCCTACCCCGGAACTGACTCGCCCCCCACAGAAGGTGTGGCCAACATGTACCGGGATTTCTCTCTTCCCTCTCACCACTAATAAAAAAAAAAAAAAAAGACTTTCGAGAAGGAGATTGGAAACTTGTAACCTTAGTAAGTGCTGAGGTGTTCACCGGCCAAATGATTACCTTCAATATGTAGGTTATATAAGGCTCTGGAGCAGTTAAGGGACTGCGATTCTAGTCTTGTGTGCTTCATGGTGTTTGTGTTTGTTTCCAACGCTTATTTGTGCGATGTGTATGTACCAAGGGACACTATTTCCTAACAAAATTCAAAATATATATCTAAAAAAAATTGAGTGTCTTTTTTAAACGTTAATTTGCGGTTCCGTCGAAAGGGATTCAACAAAATGTATGTAACAAGGAATTCGAAAAAAATGTATGTAATAAGGAATTCTAAAAATTTAAATGGCCAATATTAACTAGGAGTTAAATAAGTTGTCAAAAATAAAGTCTAAAAAACATCAAAAAGTTTAAAAAGAAATTCAATACGATTCCAGAAAATTTTCAACAGAAATTCAGAAGAATTTAACAACAGGTTTTTGTAAAGGGATATACGGGCTGCCAACCCGAGGGAAAGTTTCCAGATTAAGGTAATATTCAGGTTTATGTGGGGATAAGGGAAATCATGCTAGTTTGAGTGACATTTTAGGTGCCGTATATATCTGAAATTTTATAAATCAATTGCAATTTTTTTTTTCAAGATAACATCGAATTTCAGCGGCTTTGGCCACATTTGGGTTGCATCTTTCTGCCGTTTGACGGTTTGTGGTGCGACCATCTGGCAGCACTGAGGAGTACTAGGCTAGGTGGCGCGGGATACCGCCCGTTACAAAAGGTACAGCCGTTAGTATCCATCCATCCATCCATCCAACGTTTTTCGGCAAAAATAGTATTAATCGCCCCCTGAAAATTATCGAGGAAGGTACCAGCCACGTCGAAGATTCTGAAAGCTCCGCTATGCCTTTTCAAAAAAATAAAAAATAAATAAAAAAAACTTGAGTACAAGAAGAAATACTACAATGTCTAAAGATGTAGACTTGCCTAATAGTATTTGTGAAGTGCCGTCGTGCTCCGTGTGTTCGAGTTTGAAAACTCTCGGTTGTGTTACACCTGTTCTTTTGGACTGACTATAATAAAAAAGTGCTAATGAAATTATTAAAGCAGTATCGTGTTCTGATTACGTGCATAGCATGTAAAGCGAAGATAGGGTTTCATTCGTCAGTTTGAATCTCCCTGTAACACTTCCCTTAGCCAGATTTGCTTTGGCCATGGTTTTCATCCGATAAATTAATTTATTGCGAAATGGACGCAAGGCGTAAAGGCTACACGTAGAGCAAGTAGTCTGCTTCCTGCGCAGGGGTTGCGATGACGTCAGAACGATGCCGAGCTCTGATTGGCTTTGGTTCAAAGGAAAGTGGGTAGACCTCAATGCTAGATGCCTTGAGGTCTACCCACTATTTTTTTTTTCTTTCAATCAGCCAATAAGAGCTCGGCGTTCTGGCATCATCGCAATCCTTGTGTAAGAAGCAGGTGAACTTGCGTTCCGCATGTAATATATTTCTCATAGCAAAAATGGAAGTGATGCAGAAAACAGCGAGTATTTAGTATTATATATTATTTGCGCAGACGAGGAAATTTTGGCACAAATAGGGGAATTTCATGTGTCCGATCAAAAAATTTTGACTTTCCGTGTTGGCAGCCCTGTACATATTGTGCAAGATGTCGTGTTACTGCCATCATATGGCGAGATTGTTTAGTCAGTCATGCAATATGTAGAAATAAGAAACTACTGAACTCATTATTGAGCTCATTGGATTTCGAGCTTTTTGCTTTATTCATTTAGTTTATATGGTAAAGAGTTGTGTGGATCAAAGTCTAAGGTTTTATTTCTTCGGTGTGAATTTTTTTTTCCGCCCTACCATCGTGTACGCGACTTATGGGTAGTCAAGGACTCGCCAAACTGTACACAAAGTTTTTTTTTTTTTTTTTTTTTTTCGGCAGTTCTTTGTTATAATTACTTTTACATATATAGCGCGCAACGCTCTCCAAGCCACTGGCACGAGTGAGTAGCTTTAGCATAATAGCGCCTCGTTTACACGAGAGCGCATCCAAATGAAGCGCCAGATCAAATCACACCGTCACACGATTGCACCGTCAGCTTTGGCGGAGTTGCACAGATTGTGTACAGAACGCAGCATACTAGAAATTCATAGTAACATCGGACGCTGTTAGGAGTGTCTCCTCTCCACTGCTTTGCTGCACCCCTCACTGCCGTTGTACGTCTAGAAGAGGTCACGTCATCGACTCACAGTACGTCTTCTTAGAGCAGATGAAAGGCTTCCTGGACTGTGCGTAGACAAGGAGCATGTTGTCCAGATTCAGCTGGTAGCGCCGCTTGTAGTACTTCTTCGACGAACGCACCTTGTGAAGCTTCATGCCTCGGGACAGGTACTGGAGCACGTCCTCGATGGTCGCGGACTCTGCGCAATTGAAGCGGAACCGTCCATCAACAATCCTGTCCACGGAGCTCCAGCACGACTGGAAACACTATACACTTACGGCACCTATAGGGAGTATTCACTGGACGCCATATTTGTGGGTGCTGTTTAGAGCGCATGCTCAGAACGAGCTCACATCAATAGGCTGCTAAGATCGGCACTCTTGCTGGTGCGGAATGCACGTTGCAAAAAAACTGTGGAAGCTCGCCATCAGCACGCGCTCAGCATTCGCGCACGCAGCTATGGCCGCCAGTGAATACTCCCTATAGTCGCACTCTCATACATCATACAAAAGACAGGCTGCAGACACCGTCGAATGCGTGTTTCTTACTTGTATGACGGTCCCAAATGGTCATGCAAAAACTGCCTGCAGACATTCTGTCCACAGGTTTGCAGGGAACGCCGTGTCTTTTTGATGCACGAACACTGTGACTGCGGCCTTTAGAAGTACAATTTCTAACAATATAAAAGACCCATTCGAAGAGGCAGTTTCAGATGGATGTGCAGGTTTAGCTTTGGCGAGGCCCAGATATTGCTTGGGGTGAGGAAGTAAATGAACCATTGTTCTACTCTTGCCAAAGTATGCTTAGCACAACCGCTTAAACTTTTATATTGTGGGAAACTGCACTCCGAATGTGTAAAGCACGTGGCCCCAGTAACAGTTTGTGTATAAGGTATGATAAAAGGACGCTGAAGATAAAAATGCCAAATTCAAGCCTGCGGGATCCGTGTAAGACACATACATCACGTGCCAGAAACTCCCACGCTGAAGCAAAGAAGCCAACCAGAGATCAAAAACGAACGAAGATTCACTAATAATAAATAAAAGCAGGACATCACCTTCGTAGAAGGATCCGCGCTTCGTGTATCGTCCTTGCACTGACATGTTTCTCTAAGATTGTCCCGGTCGAACAACACAAAATGTAGAGCAGTCTCCGACTGCTATGCTTTGTTAGGTGCCTGATTGGAATCCCGTAAACACACGAAACGTCGCCATCGCTGCACGCACGGGCGGCGCGAAGCTCCTGTGACACGGTTGGCGGTTACCGTCGACCCTCCAGAGCATCGATGTAACCTTGACGCGACGGAAACAAACAGGGGAAACGAGGCAACGCTCCCAGACAGGCGGCATAGATGTGCCCCTCCTATTGTCACTTTGTTTGGAGGGTAGCAGACGACAAGCAGGCGCTCCTACGCAATTTATGTGATAAAAGCTGATTCCATTTCCGGAAGAGAGCAGTTCCTTCCATCGGGTGTGTAGGGCAACGTGCCCTTTTTGTGTCTATCTAAATCCCAGAGGTTTAGATAGCCCTTGTTGAGTCGAGTGAAACCGATGCGAGCCGCAGCGAGCGAAAAAATTCGCTTCACTACCCGCAGTGCGGCATATCGGCGTCGAAACTGGGGTACCTCGATGTTTTTGCGCTTAGAGTGATGTCATTTTTTGTAGCATACGATATTCCCAATGCCGGCGGCACGCGCTCGCGATAAAAAATGCAAAGAAATAGTCGGTAAAAAAAATGCCGCGATACAAGGTTGTTGTTTTTTTGTTTTTGTTTTTTCCCTTTAACTTTTTATTTTGGTAATTTTGGCCTCTTGCTCGAACGGCTAGGGCTAAGTTCTGACGGAGCCCGTGAGTGTTATATATATAAAGTTATCCCCCACTCCCTCCTTCAAAAAAGAAAAAAAAAGAAGGAGATCTTGTTACGTTATTGTAGCAGGGTGCATATGATTCATCGCCGAACCAAGCTATCTCCCCTGATATGCACAGGCGCGATCCGGCCTTCCGGGTCGAAAAGATACGATTCCCTTGCGTACCCGGACGACAGTCGTCTTCTTCCTTCGGCACTTTCGGAGCGCTAATGCACGGAGCAAGCGCTGCGGGTGTTGGACTCGTTTGCCACTCATTGTAAACTAAAACCCGTTGAAATGTTTTAGTCCTGAGGCCGACAAACACTGGCTTCTGTCCACCAACAGTGATCTCCTGTAGTATACCACTTGTTCATAAATATGTTCTAATGTGTGTGGCCAGGACTGTTTTAAACTTAAGCAAGATTGCCAACTAACTTTATTCAGCGTGTTTGCGAGGATTTTTCATTGACCGCGCGATCAAATTTCCAGAGCTGGACAACAATACACTCAAAGAAATCTGGAGCGTCTCCTCTTCCGCAAAGTACTTGGGACAGTTAATCGTTGCAAGCTACGGAGGACACTCGGAGAAAGAATGACAGGGCTGATAAGGTGTTCATCGCCCCTCCCCTCCCCCCCCCCCCCCCCCCCCCCCAAAAAAAAAAAAAAAAATTCTTTTGATTTTGCAAAACAATGCTAAACAATGCCGCAACGGTTTACGTCGCGGCATTGTTTGCTGCAGAGTCGTGTTCAACGCCATAACGCAAATAATATATTTAGAGCAAACGTTTTAGATTTTTTTAATGTGTTCTCAGTCTCACCCCCCCCCCCCCCCCCCTCCCTACAGACACACACAGTTCCAAGGAAGCTTCGAACCCAGTCACCCAAGCGAACGAAGTCCAACCATATGGGCTTTGGGTGAACGCAGGTTGAGCGCACGGAATTTCGAGGAAGAAAGCTACTTCGCATTGCCCAGAACAGAAAGTACAAATGTCGTCATGCACGTGCAGAATGCGGTTATTAAAATCGGCTCTACACCCCCCCCCCCCCCCTAAAAAAAAACAGTGCGTTTATTTATTTATTCATTTGCAGAACACGCAGACAGTTATTAACAGCGAACAAGAATAAAAAAATGTGCCAGCGAATATGAAGATTACTAGAATGGAAAGTTGGGCGAGTTGGTATGAATTCATTTTGAAAAACAGAGCGAATACCACACGGACAAGAAGGAGGACGAGGCGCTGACTATCAACTGTCTATTCAGAACACATACATAGAAATTCACGCGAGGTCGGCTTCTTCTTTTTTCTCTTCCAGTCATTCGCCATTAAGCACGCAACATATCAAATTAAAACACACGAGTACATTAAAACACTCCAGCACAGGTATAAGTCATCGCGTCTTCCTCTTTTCTTCTTTCTTGGATCTTCAATCTTCAATTCTCAGGTCAACCCATGTCCAAAAAAATTACCTCACTGTCCACTAGGTTAGTGGATGGTTGGCTCACGCACCCGGGTTTTCGTTTAGCTATATGATGAGCTTCTACTAGCTCCCTCGGTAGCTGATCTTTGTGTTTAAACAGCACTTTTGTGTCACTAAATTTTGGCTCACATCCACAATCACGGCAGTGGACAGCTAAATGGGAGTACGCGTTACCTTTTAATGAACTGTGGTGTTCGCGTAGACGAATGTTGAGGCAACGACCCGTCTGACCTATATATGAGTGACCGCATGAGAACGGTATTTCATAAACGGTCCCCTGTGCACAGGACACGAACTTCATGCCATGCTTGACGCGACATCCAAACAGTTCTGGCTTACTTTTCCTGACAGCACGCTTGTTAACCACGTTTATAATTCTGCTCAGTTTGTTACGCGCTGAAAAAATTACATTGACCCCATACCTCGAACCGACTCCCTTTAACCCGTGTGAAAGACGATGGATGTAAGGTATAACGGCGACATTCTTTTTGTCTATCTTGGCTTTTTCTTTTTCAAGTTTACTGGAATCATTCTTGATATACCGAGTCACCTTATCGCAGGCTGAAGTAATAATTGAGTCGGGATAATTAGATTCTCTGAGTCTAGCGACCTGTACTGAGAAGCTTTCTTTCATCTTATGAAAACAGGTTTTTGTCAACGCTGACTGTAAGCAGGAATACGTAATACCGTTTTTTACGAGCTTTGAGTGTGCTGAAGGATAGTCTAGTAGTTTCTTCGTGGATCTGGGGTGGTGCATCCAACATACGTGATCTTCTTTCACGTCAATTTGGATGTCTAAAAACTGGATTTTGTGCTCCTTAGGAGTCTCGGAAGTGAAGCGGAGTCCTAACCCTTCCTCCGCGAACGTCTTTAACACTTCGCTCATTGTTCTACTAAAATTGTTTTTTTCTACGAAAACCAGGTAATCATCTACATATCTGACAACCTTTTTGGTGTTGTTCGCCAGCCTGTACTCAAGGGCCCTATCAACTTTACCTAAAAAAAATACTGCTCAGCATAGGGGCCACTCTTGAACCTATACATACACCTGACTTTTGTACATAAACGTTGTCCTGCCAATCGATAAACGTGGATTTTAGATACATAGACAAAAGCTCTAGGAACCCTTCAACTGAGACTCCACTTTTGGTCCTAAACCTCGTTTCATCGTTGAGTTCAAAAATACATTCTTTTACGCTCTTCATGAGCTCATGATGGGGCATAGAGGAAGACGCGATGACTTATACCTGTGCTGGAGTGTTTTAATGTACTCGTGTGTTTTAATTTGATATGTTGCGTGCTTAATGGCGAATGACTGGAAGAGAAAAAAGAAGAAGCCGACCTCGCGTGAATTTCTATGTATGTGTTCTGAATAGACAGTTGATAGTCAGCGCCTCGTCCTGTGTGTTCCTCCTTCTTGTCCGTGTGGTATTCGCGCTGTTTTTCAAAATGAATATGAAGAAACTCAGAATATCTATTAGATGGGAAAAACGCGATGCGCGCAGAGACAACGAGAAAGTTAAGCGTCATGCTCAGTGACCGTCGGACCCACTGTGATGCACGCTCATGACTTAGTAGCGGGGTCGGACGAGGATCGGACACTGAAGGGCTCTTCCTCGCTATAGTTGGTTGCAAGCTAAGAAAAAAACCGGAAATGCCTCTCAGAGGAAAATGTAATCCTACGCCGAGAAACGCCAGCCAATCGTTTTCATGACGTCACGACTCCGTGGACCAATCGCGATCCTTTTGAAAAAAAAAAAAGTTCAACATGGCTGCTGGCCTTAGCAACGCGACGCTAGTTTCTCGTGACAAGTATTCTGCTTTTTTGCACCGTGTTTTACGTGCCCGAGGTTACGCCACAAAATCTTAATGGT